AATGAAGGGAGAAGCAGCAAGAGTGCACAGGCAAGATCGGTATAAAAGTGGTTGGGCAAACAGCTATGTGGACACTGCCACTGAGCTTAAGACCTTGTGGGTGTGCCAACAGGACAGATAAAGTGGTTAAACCCACATAAATACATGACTTTGATCTTATTCTGCTTATATTAAATATTCATAATAATGTCTTTATAATTTTACACATTAGCACATTTGAAATTCAACATCTAGCTTCCATCTCAAGGGTGTAAGTGAAAATCGAACAAAAATCAATTACTGTTTACTTTGTGTTCTTATTCTCTTGTGAAGCCTGTGATCCAATGCAGCTGATGCATTTATTTGTGTTTGCAGGAACAGATTGTTGCACGTGCCTTTAAAACACTATCAGGTCAGCTGCTCTGACTGGTTGTTGAAGGTCATTTGTGGTGGGGTAGAAATCCGTACTGTCTATGCCTCTCATCGGAAAGCCAAAGCTTGCCTTATATCCCGTATCAGCAGTGTACGTGCTGGTGCCAGATTCCACATCCGTGGAGTAGATGATGATGGACATGTTTCTAACTTTGTTTGAAACCGAGCAGGTAATGTTTACTTTCTCTATTCACATTTAGTGATATGGAATCATTGTGCTGGTCAATACAGATTTTCTTTTTTAAATCCAGCACAGTGGAATGGGCTAGTGTTCATTTTGTTTTCTTTGTGGTATTCTGTCATCCACTCTGTCACTTTTTAACATGGGTCAATGAAGACTACAAGTGGCTGGTTCAACACACCCTTAAAGCTGAATTCCAGGTATGCATATGTTTACATAGTGTGGGAACTCGCTTCAACGTGGTAGAGCTTCTTCAAAGCACACAGCAACTCGCTTCTTTTAAGGGCTTTTTTGCCCACTTTTATTTACAAGAAAGTTCAAGAAACACAAATGCTTCCTACGCAGGGGTATCCAACCTCAAGCAAATCATATTCAGCCTCCTGGCTTGTACACAGTTTTAAGTCTGCCTCCTGCAGACTCTTCCCAAAAAATATGGCACTAGCACACAGCTAGTCTGGCTTCCACCTGACTCCAAGGCAGACCTCCCGTCTGCCGGGGTGGAGCCCTGCTGACTCCTAGCTGCCGGGGTGGAGCCCTGCTGACTCCTAGCTGCCGGGGTGGAGCCCTGCTGACTCCAGTCTGCCGGGGTGGAGCCCTGCTGACTCCTAGCTGCCGGGGTGGAGCCCAGAACCCTGGTCCTGACTCTCTGAAAAGGCCTGCACACACCTGTGCAATCAGCCTCCTGGCCATTCCAAAAACCTGGCCCAGGATTGGAGATTTCATCCCTCCCAGATCTCTTTGAAATCTCCAGGCTCCAGATCCAAACATGGACCTTACAAACAAAGGAGGAAGGTGAAAAGCCACTTTCCTCCGTATCAAACACTTACCCTGGAGCCCCTCAACCTGCCTAGTTGAGAATCCTGGGTGACAGATCGTCACACTGTCATATATCCCCCCCTTTGTTTTGATCCCGTAGGGGGCAGAACACACAACTTATATCTTCTGGCACCTCTGTGCCAGCTCTCACTTACAGGGGTCCAATCTGGTCTGACCATACCTTTCCTAAAGGGAAACTCTACCCAATGACTCCTTTGGTGTGTCTCTCCCCAAGCCCCATTGTCACTCTGCTATGGGCTCTACTCAGACCTTCCCTATTCTTTTTCCGAGTGCATTTCCATAACCACTTTCTCTCCTGAGATCTTAGCGGGGTCCCCCTGCTTTTCTATTGACCTTTCTGCCCCTTTGCTTCAGGTTCCAAGGTTTCCTAATACCTCTCTCAGTATTACTGTCCCAAGGCTGTAGGGGAAACTATATCTACTGTATTTGTACCAGGACCACCCCCTGATTTCTTGTACCTCTAGCTATCAAACCTGCATGACTCATTACCACAGCATTCAGTTTACCATGAACGGTTATATTCCAGTCAATATTACACCTTTCAATACATTTTCCAGCATTAGTTAGGACAGTGTCTGCAGAGGGCACACACACCATAGGGCAGCCATCACCCACGGGAACCACACAAGGTGCCACTTCACCTGGTGTCATGCAATCTGCAGGTGGCTGTCCCACCATTTTAACTTTTTCTACACCACTTGGATCTGTATCCAAATCCTGTACAGATGAGCACTCTTCTGATCCATTTTGCCAGTTTTCACATACCATTTGTCCCTGTATTTCAGGTGTCTTTTCAGACCTGCTACATAAACCTCTTTTTGGCCCAATGACCCTGATTCCTTCATGCACATCCCGTTTGAGCCCTGGTCAGGAGCTCTGCTGTTCTCTGGTCCATGCTCGGTCCTTCCATCTCATGTGGTTTGTCCAATGGTGCAGTAAACACGCCCTTCACTGACAACTGACCAGTACCATCCTGGACCATAGCAGCAGAAATGCTTCCCACCTGGCTGTTAGGAGGTGAAACCTTTTTTTGACTCATTTCCCATTTCTCCAAAACTTCTCTCAAATACATTGACAGGTAGTCCAGCAGCATACCCTGATACAACTTTTAACACCATCAAAAAATTCCAAAACAAACAACTTTCTTGTTTCCCTTTGATCTGTACAACCAGCCATTCGGTGCTCCACCTAGTGGTACTCCGCAGTACCAGACCATCTGACTGTGGAGGAGGCACCTCATTATACATTGGTTGTACATTCCAAAGTTCAAGCATCTCCTTTAATACTTTGGTTACAACCCAACCACTTGACTCTAAACCTAAGAGCTTCCTGACCATATTTAGGGCACTGGGAACGCTGAGAGACTCACCTGCTGAGACTTGAGAAGTTGAAATTTTTACAGGGACCTCCTCCAAGCTGGAGAGAAACCACAGCCTGGTGCTCCACCAGAGCGCTGCCATGTGCTGGGCTCACTCTCAACATCTCAGACTCAGCATCCACAAGCTGCCCCTGATCATTCCCAGTGACAACATCATTTTGACACTCCCTGCCAACATCACTTTTGTGGGTCACAGACAAAGTCTCTGCTGTATACACGCCCTTATCCATAGGCTGTTCTATAGATCCTCCTGCTGGCACAGCAGAAACAGTGTCCACCTTGTTTTTTTGCATAAAAACCTCATCTATCAACGAGATTAGCCTTTTATTCCAACTATCCCAATCCATTGTATATGTGCTCAATTCGCCAGTGCTCCTCAGCACCGAACCATCTGCCCAAGGAGACACATAAGAATAGACAGGCTTAGTTGCAGATCCATTGCACAAATCACTCTGGATCACATCAGACTTGGGTAACACCTGTTTTCCAACTGCAGGTTGCAATACCTCACATCCACCACTTTGCTCTGGTGGTGCTTCCTGCATTACCCACACATTTGCATTTTTGCCAGGCTGCATTAACCCGCTGTTCACCTGAACACTTTCAGTAATATTAGGCTGCAGCAACACACTCCTATGACAAGGTGCAGTTCCACTCTGCTCCACCAGAGTGACATCGCAGTTGTCCAGGGTAACCTCCGACTCCAATACACGGAGACCCCTGGAGATGTCTAAGGACACCTGTGCTGTCTGACCACCAGTTGCTATGGGAAATGACCCGTCTTTAATTACAGCTTTTGCACTGCAAGAGCTTAGGGTTTTCCCAACAGCAGTACATTTCTCATCAACAACAACATTAGCATTTTTAGCTCTTGTGGGCTGTACTATCCCACTACCAACCTGTGACTGGCACACATTCGTGACATCACTTTCTTTTTGAGAACCATGCACAGGCTTTACTTTAACCCCTACCTCCCCACTGTACAAGGCACTGCACAGGGAAAAGGCACTCTCAAAAGCACATTCAGTGGCCCAACTAACTGGGGTCACTCCGACATCAGAATGGACAGTCTCATAACCAGTCCTTCTCAACATGACAGTCCCAGCCATGGTTTTATCACACACACAGTCTTACCCACCACAGTAGTAGGTGTCGCCATCTTCATTTGAGTGCGTTGTCTCATAAACGCATCCTCAACTGCACTTTCCTTGGCAACTTTTCCCTTGCCCCAAGGTGAAGTAACAGACGCCATCATAGGCTCCATGGACTCTCTGGCACCCCCTGCAAGCCCAACAGGAACTTCCTCCCTGTTGCCAGAGGTGGCTGCCAACATTTTAAAACAAGAATCTGCGTTTGCAGTTGTAGATATTTGCGCAGTATCAGCGGTATTCCAGAGTCTGGGACAGGAAAAGATCCCATGCCCCCACTGACCACATTCCAGGCATGGTACATTTCCACACTTCTCCTTATTGGGATACTGAGCCACATCTCCAATGCAGCTCCTCCTTCCAGGCAATATTTTTTTTCCGGTCGCCATGGGAGATTGCACTCTCTAAGCAGAACTTTGCTGGCTCTTTCCAACACGCTGTATTGGCTCCTCTTGATGCCACTTGCCATGATCCTTGTATGACATAGCCCCCTGTACACAGACAGCCCGACTGGCCTCCTCTGTGTTGCTATGGGCCTTCACTCTTGGTCCTGGCCTCTGGTCAGCCCCTCTCCTTGCACATAGCTGGGCTTCTCTCTGCTGGACCCTCTTTCAAGCCGTGACACATTCACATTTTTCACAACAGCTACTGGTTTAACTGCAGCAGCGTTGCCAGGGGCAACAACACCCCTCTCCCAGGTACGGACATCCTGCAGCTCTCTCCTTGCACTGAAGGTTGGCTTGCTTTCCTCTTTAGGTTGGTTCAATGCAGCCAGGTGCCGCTTGCACCAGTCCACAGCAGACTCACCCACATCTAAATTTTTCTGGTTGGCTGGGGCATGAGGTATATAACCCCCTAGCCACAGAGCTCTCTCTGTCATTTCAGCAAACATTGCCTCCTTTTTCTGTTTTGACCGCCCCATCTTTGCAGTCATGTACACAGCAGTGTGTTACACAGTTCAGCAACACCATGGAACACTGTCTCTTTAAGGCAAAGTCCTTTTCTCTAGCAGGTTCTCCTCACCTGCACACACAGATCGTGCAGACATATGCACCAAACAGTTCATATAACTGATGAACTTACTTCATCGCAGGGATCTTCTGCCCGCATCCTCCACCATATGTGGGAACTCGCTTCAACGTGGTAGAGCTTCTTCAAAGCACACAGCAACTCGCTTCTTTTAAGGGCTTTTTTGCCCACTTTTATTTACAAGAAAGTTCAAGAAACACAAATGCTTCCTACGCAGGGGTATCCAACCTCAAGCAAATCATATTCAGCCTCCTGGCTTGTACACAGTTTTAAGTCTGCCTCCTGCAGACTCTTCCCAAAATATGGCACTAGCACACAGCTAGTCTGGCTTCCACCTGACTCCAAGGCAGAGACCTCCCGTCTGCCGGGGTGGAGCCCTGCTGACTCCTAGCTGCCGGGGTGGAGCCCTGCTGACTCCAGTCTGCCGGGGTGGAGGACCTGCTGACTCCTAGCTGCCGGGGTGGAGCCCAGAACCCTGGTCCTGACTCTCTGAAAAGGCCTGCACACACCTGTGCAATCAGCCTCCTGGCCATTCCAAAAACCTGGCCCCAGGATTGGAGATTTCATCCCTCCCAGATCTCTTTGAAATCTCTCCAGGCTCCAGATCCCAACATGGACCTTACAAACAAAGGAGGAAGGTGAAAAGCCACTTCCTCCGTATCAAACACTTACCCTGGAGCCCCTCAACCTGCCTAGTTGAGAATCCTGGGTGACAGATCGTCACACTGTCACATAAGTTACATTGGTGCAGCTTGGACTAATAGTAAGTATGCATGTGTCATACCTGGAAGATCCCTGTGGAAGCTGGAAATCACAGTAGTAGACACCGCTACTGTAGTGATCGCCACTAGCTTCTGGGTCCCATACTGAGCAGCTGCCCTGAGGTTGGTTGCTTCGCTCAGGCACCATTTAGAGGACAGTTTGCATCCTCTCAGCGAATGCAAAGCGTTCTCTGATTTGGATGCAGTGGAGAGGTAGAGTTTTGATGCCACAAACTCTATCATGACCAATCAGAAAATGAACTGATTCACTAAGGGACCTTCCACATGGGCGTTCCGTTTTTTTTAATCTGTTCAGTCATGTTTTTTTCCAAGAAAAAACGGATCAGTTCACATCAGTTTTTCATCAGGTCACTTCAGGTTTTGTCAGTTTTTCATCATTTTGCATCAGTTTACATGCATTTTTTTTACATCCTTTATCAATGAAAAAGGGATCATAAGTCTGTTTGCATCAGTTTTGTCCATTTACATCCATTTTTCATCCATTCTGGGGTTTTTTTACAGAAGAAAATAGGGTATTCTTCCATTCACAAAAATAGATGTTTAACAGATGCAGACATTAATGGATGTAAACAGATGTCTGTAAATGGACAGATGAAAAATGGACATACGGACGCCCACGTGAAAGGGGCCTTAGAAGATGCAAACACTTCTCTCATGCACCCATGCTAAGTGACCAACCTCCTGTGTTCCCCAAGCAGTAGGGCAGCTGCTCAGCATGGGACCCAAAAGCTAGCGGTGATCAATTTCACTATATTACTACAGTGATTTCCAGCTCCCACAGGGATCTTCCAGGTATGATGTTTGCCTACTACCTTTGGTTGGACCAATGTAACCATGCATAAATATGGATACCTAAGCTACAGGTTTAGGCAGACATGGCCCATTGTGGTCAGCATCAGGGATCCCACCAAGAGAAATGCTATACAACCATTATTGCAATACATGTATATAGATAGGAAGGCCTTGTAAGGAGCCTGCAGTAGTTCAGCAGCACTTAGATGTGACCAATGTGAACAAAAGTATTTTATCGAAAAATCCTTGGATGTTGTTTTTGATAAAGCGTTATTAAACTAAATGTTGTCTGGATAGGGCCACACCTTTGCTTTGATGTAATGAATAGTACCACAATGCACCAACACTGTCCGTCAATGTGTGCTGGTGCATTGCTTTGTCTTGCCATTAATTTTAAATGGTATCCCTATGCAGCTGTGCAACACACCACAATCTATGGTGATTCCGGTCCATATATTGCTGACTCATTGGCAGCCCATTCAAAATGAATAGGCTGCCTTAAGGCAACTCATGGTTATGCACAATATAACATGCATGCATTACCACAATGCATCAGAGCAGATGTGTGTGAATGGGCTGATAGGGTTTACATCTACTGCAAAAATATTACAAACTGTTGTGTAGTGGTTGTGAGATTATCAAATTTGTACTATTCTGATTTCTGGATCATCATTTAATAATTAGGAATAAATGTATGATTTAATTTAAAAAAAAAAAAGAAAAAAGAATTACCTGCAGTATAGAGACAGTTTTTCTTCAGATTTGTGCGGTTTGTGCTTATATATTTTTCCCTCTGTATATTTTATCTGTATATTATATATAACGTTTCTACAGTCAAATTTTGAATCGTGTTGTCTTTTAGTTATCTTTCGCCATTGTTACACATACAGTTCATAACTTATTATGCGCACAAACAGTAACCTTTATTACTAGAATCAATAATGTCCGTCTGCAATACTCCTACAGATTGCTTCCCAAGCAGACTCATAGCTGCAATGCTACATATAATAACGCATTTCAGGTTTCAGTAAAATACTTGAACACAAATAGCTGACAACCTGTCTGCTCAGATACTTAAGTGGCAATGGAGGAAAAAGAAAATAACCAAGATAGTGTCAAAAGTCACATAGCTTTACTAAGAAAAAGCAAAGCTTTTACTTACAAAATGAATTCGACAAAAAGATTGTTGAGAGAAAACATGAGCATTTTTTAGAGTCTCAGAAAAAGTTGCAATGTAAAGGGTAATTGGGGATTGGGGTAAGCATTCAGCCTCTGAACATTGTAGTCATTTTTTTGGTGATCTCCTACCTAAATACATTGCAGCTAAAAATCATGCTGTGCTGAGTGGCATTGATTAGGATGGGCAACACTGAAAATAATGTGATTTCCCATGAAAAAAGACCGAGAAATGTTATCATGCGATTCTGTGCGACTCAAGTTGCACTAGTGTTAACCAGGGCTTATTAAAGAGGTAGCAGTTCACTTAGAAACATGAATAAGATGAAGCTGTATTAAGTTTAATTAGCTAATTATTTGCAAGCAGAAACCCTGTTATTTTAAAATGTAGATTACACTTATGCGCCGAAAGGTTTTACCCCCTTCATGACCTGGGCATTTTTTGCTAGTTAGCACTGTGCTACATTAACTGGCAATTGTGCAGTCATGCAATATTGTACACAAATTACATTTTTATAATTTTTTTTCACACAAAAATCACCACTGGGTTTTTTTTTTTTGCAATATAAATGAAAAAAGACCAAACATTTTGAAAGAAACAATGTTTTCTACTTTCTGTCATAAAGCATATCCAATAAAATCAATTTTTTTCATACATTTAGGCTAAATGTCTTTGGTAATAAAATCCCAATAATTGTATATTAATTGGTTTGTGTGAAAGTTATAGTGTCTACAAACTATGGTATATATAGTATATACAGTGGGGATCGAAAGTTTGGGCACCCCAGCTAAAAATCTGTATTAATGTGCATAAAGAAGCCAAGGAAAGATGGAAAAATCTCCAAAAGGCATCAAATTACAGATTAGACATTCTTATAATATGTCAACAAAAGTTTGATTTTATTTCCATCATTTACACTTTCAAAATAATAGAAAACAAAAAAATGGCGTCTGCAAAAGTTTGGGCACCCTGCAGAGTTAATATCTTGTACTGCCCCCTTTGGCAAGTATCACAGCTTGTAAACGCTTTTTGTAGCCAGCCAAGAGTCTTTCAATTCTTGTTTGAGGTATCTTTGCCCATTCTTCCTTACAAAGTCTTCCAGTTCTTTGAGATTTCAGGGCTGTCTGTCACGCACTGCTCTTTTAAGGTCTATCCATAGATTTTCAATTATGTTGAGGTCAGGAGATTGTGAAGGCCATGGCAAAACCTTCAGTTTACGCCTCTTGATGTAATCCCCTGTGGATTTCGAGGTGTGTTTAGGATCATTATCCATTTGTAGAAGCCGTCCTCTCTTTAACTTCAGATTTTTCACAGATGGCATCAAGTTACCATCCAAAATTTGCTGAAATTTTCTGAATCCATTTTTTCTTCTACTCGTGAGATGTTCCCTGTGCCACTGGCTGCAACACAACCCCAAAGCATGATTGATCCAACCCCATGCTTAACAGTTGGACAGAGGTTCTTTTCATTAAATTCTGTGCCCCTTCTTCTCCAAACGTACCTTTGCTCATTCCGGCCAAAAAGTTCAATTTCTGGAGAACTTGGATCAGGCTCGTTCATTTGCAAAGTCAAACGATGGGGTTTTTTTTCTTCTGAATTGTTTTTTATCTCTTTATAGTGGAATAGTGGTACTCACAATGTCTGCCAGATGGAGGGATCGAGCTGGGTTTTGAATTGTTTTTTTCTCACAATCCTGCGAGCTTTCTGTCTGATATTTTTCTTGGTCTTCCAGATCTTGCTTTAACTTCCACTGTTCCTGATGACTGCCATTTCTTAATTACATTCCGAACAGAGGATATTGACATCTGAAAACGCTTTGCTATCTTCTTATAGCCTTCTCCAGCTTTGTGAGCGTCAACTATTTTCAGTTTCAGTTTTTCTAGACAACTGCTTAGAAGAACCCATGGTGCTGATTGTTGGGGCAAGGTCAGATGAGTCTGGGCATTTAAAACCTTTGAGATTGACATCACCTGGTCTTTCCAGACGATGATTGAGAACAATCCATGACACTGGCAGGTCTCAGCTTTGCAAAGGGGGCAGTGCATGCTATAAATTCTGCAGGGTGCCCAAACTTTTGCAGACGCCATTTTTTTGTTTTCTGTTTTTTGAAAGTGTAAATGATGGAAATAAAATTTAACTTTTGTTGACATATTATAAGAATGTCTAATCTGTAATTTGATACCTTTTGGAGATTTTTCCATCTTTCCTTGGCTTCTTTATGCACATTAATACAAATTTTTAGCTGGGGTGCCCAAACTTTCGATCCCCACTGTATATGTTCTGGTCCTGATGTTTTGACAGCCTAACTTGTTTCTTGAGGCCCTAAAACACTAGGACAGAACAAATTCCCCCCAAATGACCCCTTTTTGGAAAGTAGACAGTCTGAGGCATTTAGGAAGTCACATGGAAAGTTTTTTAGTTGTAATTTTTTCTCACAATTTTTTTGGAAATGAAGACATTGACTATTGTTTTTTTACATACTGTCACCAGTGCAGTACAGCATCATCATGACTGATGTGGGGGTGATCAGGGACACTGACTGGTGATAGTATTCAAAATAAAAATGATTGACTTTTTTTTTCATTTTGTAAATTTTTTTTTAAATTTTTTTACTATTTGTTTTTTTACATACTTTCATCAGAGTAGTTCTGTGTCAGCATAGTAACACTGTACTACTCTGAGGGGGTGATAAGGGATTTTTTTTTTTTACACACTGTTTGCTTCATAACAGCTTTGTTGACATTGTGATCATATAGTGATCACATGATTACCGGGCCCAGAGTACCAGGATCCATATTCTGCTGTGTCCTATGGACACTGCACCCCCCTGAGGCCAAGCAGAGAAAATGACGTACGTGCACGTGATTTTGCCAGCAGGTGCTGACCTGCCGTAG